AGCCTCTGATCGTCAGCCTGCCATCAGTTCTGCTGCAGTCTGGATCTCTGGTCTTTTTGTAACCCTTCCTTCCATGCTTAGTGCTCTGGGTGTTGCTAGCTCAGACTGCTTGCTTCTTTCTACCCACTATTAGTTCTTTATTGTGTTTGGTTCTACCCGCCACGCAAAGTGTCTGACAGGAGACCCTCTCATATGTCAGAAAAATGGTAAGTGTTACAAAAAGACCAGAGATTCGGCTGGGACGATAGAGGAGAAGCATGGTACTTACTGCAGCAGAGCTGATGGCAGGTCAATGATCAGAGGGTCACAGAGGTTATGACATGAGGGAACATGTGGATGGATCTTCCTTCTAAAGCCAATCCCCCCAAGGTCACCTGGCCAGTTCCTGACACTCTCTGAGGCTGAATCCACATGCTTAATGTGGTCAGCACAAACAGATGCTACGGTTCATCCTGAGGGTGAACCTTAGCTATAGAAAAACCATTGGTTTCTGGAGGTGTGGACTCTGTTGAAGTTTTATAATTTACTTAAACACTAAAGCTTGGCCTTGACATGTAATTTAGCAGTTCAATGCTAAAGAACTGAGAAGTGCTGATCTGAACAAGGTGGCTGTTAATGCTGATTTAACATTTGGAAACCTGGCCAACACAGACTGAACAGCTTCCTTCACTTCCTTCCCTGCCATTCTTGAAACTACAGGCAGACTACTATTCTAAAACAGAGCAGAAAATCAACATCATTATTCAGAACTTCTCCTTCTGTTCACTGATTGGCCCGGTAGAAATTCTACCAGAGGGAATCCAAGTAAATGGGAGAAAGCGCTGACTGTCTATAAAGTGAGATTTGAATGGAGCAGAATTGTGCAGGAAAGCAATGGCCAGGCTGGCGTAATCCTGGTGGGAACCCTGTAAACTGACGCACTGTTGAAACATCTCTGGGTCACATGATCACTAGATGACAGAAAGAGGTGGATCTGAAGCAGCTGTGGGTCAAAGTTGTTATTCTTTGTATCTGGTGTTATGACTTGTTCTAATTAATATCAAGTTGAGATGACTCATAAAATGATTTTTGTGGATTACTGAATGTTGTGCTACAATAGTGAATGGTCTGCACCATGTGGGTTTTATACATTGAACAGAGACGGTGTCTCAGAGGGAGAGCAGCTGGACGAGCAGCTTGATGACGGTCTTGGAGGTCTCTGCTGTAAACAGACCATCCTTTGCCTTTTTTTCCTGATTGTCTATTGTTTGACATCAGTATTGCTCCTCTGCCAGCAGATAACTACAACAGGAGCTCAGTGTTCAGGTTTTCACAACCTGCAACATTTCTGCCATATGGAGCCGACAGAGGGAGGGGATTTTATATCAAGTATAAAGGCTGTCTATATTTTCAGCTTAATGAATAAACCGTAAAGACAAAAACAATTCTGGCTCCTTTTTAAGAATTATGGTGGCCTTTTTTTCTCTTTTTCTCTTTCATGCTAAATTACATGCAGATTATGAAATGTATTACTGTCAGTAAGTATTCTAATTTAAACAGTGATAGTTACCTCCATGAAGGAGGTTGATTCTCACTACTGCTTCTCCTGTCTGGAACCTGTTAAAGTTTCATGTAGAAAACATCACTGTCTTCAGTGGTTGTAGGGGTGTGCCCTGTCCTCTTCCGTCTGCTGCAGCTGTCATGACCAACACAGTCAGTTGTTCTATGGTGAAAACTGCAGGTGAATTCTTGAAGGTGGTCAGCTCACCGTTTGCAGGTTGGAAGTGTGAAGGCCACCTCTGCTCTTCGCTGAATGTAAATTAATATCTGCTTACTTTGTTGAGATTTACTGCAAGATTATGAGTCACTTTGCGGACAGTATGTCTCTCAGATTACCACAGGGTGGCTGTGTAACAGCTGTGGCAACCTACTATTAGTATGTTTGTTTTAACTATTTTTATGCATTTTATGCATTAAAAACAGCCAATGTTTTTAATGCATAAAACATTGATATGTTTTAGGCATAGTAATGTTGAGTGAGAACAAATTAAACCTGACATACCAGTTACATGTTTGCTATTGTTCTTGTCTTTGTCCAATTACCTGCATCCTATCAACAGTTTCTGGAAGATGAAAACTGGGCAGCTTTTTGTATGTCAAAAGAGAAAATGGTCAGAGATAAGTTCAACACATTTAAACTGATCCAAGTGTAGACTGCATGGATCTTGTCTTTGTGCCTATGTGAGAACCTTCTACAGAAGACTCTTTTGACACGGTCTTATACAAATAAAGGAGCATTTATTTCAAACAAGGCCATCACAGATCTGTGTTCCCATCCTGAAAGCCGAATTCTCCAAATAGGATTACAAACAGTGCACACTCAGCTTCCCCTATTTGGCTTGTTTACCTCTAAACATACAACTGCAGCTATCTATAGCACAGCTTTATCTGCAGGCAAACACTTTTCATGCAGCAGCTTGTGGCTTTGACTATCTTTATGCATTCATATCTTGTCTTTTTTTGGTCATTCAGCTCAAAACTCTGTCTTAGAAATAACCCTGAGGCCTTAAGCAATAATATGTTATCAGACACTATATTAGTAATTTAATACGCTGTATATAACAGAAATACAATTCATCCTATCATATTTGGAAATAAGGCTGGTGTTCCTCTTACACTATGTATCAAATCATATGCTTACACAATTATTATCCCCCTGATGAAATCAAACAAAACTCTTAAACCATTGTAGAATATATCATGCTACAATGGTTTACCCTCATCAAAAACAGACCTTGACTGTTGCCTTGATTCTGTCATGCATGTTTTAAGGAATTTAATACTTCTGACCTGCTCCACTGCAGCATCATTGATGAGGAGGGGGGCAGTGGGTGACTTGGCTGACATGATGGGAGTGAGTGCAACAGGGCGGTAGTCGTTAAGTGATGACATTATGGCCACTGGTATGATGATGGCCATCTTGAAGCTAGCTTAGCACGGTGCCAAATATGTCCATTAGGACGCGAGTCAGCTGATTAGCACAGTTCTTGAGAACCAGTCCCAGTATGTTATGAGGACCTGCTGCTTTATGCATGTTGAGGCTTCTCAAGGTCCTCTGAACATTAGCTGTCGCAAGTCTGAGTATCTGTTCACCTGGTTGAGGAGTGGATTTCCTTACTGGAGTGTTGTTGAGGGCTTCAAACACCACATGGGCCTGGTGTTCGCCAAATCATGGAACAATTGCTGGATTTTCTGACCATAGGCACATTTTACTACCCTGATGACTTCTCTATCGCCACATTTCAATGCAGCGTTCTGTTCCCTCTGCATCTCACTGTCTTCACATTGGCCTGATTAAAGTCCTTGCCAACAGTGGAAACACCCTCTGGATGTGTAGTTTGGAAGTCACTGTTGGAACTGTAGACTCACTCAGAGCCTCTTTAGTGTTGGCATTAGGACAGATGGAAACAGTAGTGTTGATGATGATGATGATGATGATGATGATGATGATGATGATGATGGTAAATTCCCTGAGCATAAAAATGGGTCTGCATTTCATGGTCAAAAAACTCGATATCTGGAGAGCAATGAGATGAGACCATCTTGGCATTATTGCACCTGCTGTTATGTAGATGCAAACACCACCACCTCAGGTTTTACCGCTTAGTGCTGCCCCTATCCAAACGGAATGCTGTCAGCCTGACAATTATAAGGGTTACCAGAAATAGAGGAGTTTAATCATGTCTCAGTCAGAATTATGACACAGCAGTTACTCATCTCACAGTTTGATGTCAAATTCAGCGTTAAGTTACCTATTTTGTTCTCTAGCAAACAAGCTCAATGGAAGCAACATTCTCAAAGGATTACATTTTAGCTCACGGCTGCTGCTTACGCTTCCTGTTGCAGTGTCGCCGTCTCCTCCTGGCTGCTGGGGGCTTTCACTGATTCAACGGCCACTGGGTCTTACTGGCATAACAGTCTGAGGTTGTTCAGAGTTTCCAGAATTTCAGTGTCCACTCACAGTAATATGCAGGTTATGCACACTTTTAAGATAAACTTAGCATCTTATCCTGCCTCTATTATACTGGAGGTTTTCTTTTGTATGAGCCAGAATAAATGTCTTTTTATGTCTTAAATGTCATGAAGTAGGGTTGTTGGTGGTGAGGAGAGACGCTGAGACCCAGGTATGGTGAAGATGATGTATTTAATGATAATAAAAATAGCACACAAACAGTCCAAGGCAGGCAGCACGGCAGGAACAAGCACGCAGCTAGATACCGGTAGCAACTGTCAAAACGGACTAGACGGAACAAATACAAACCAGGACTTTACAGTTCTACTGGCGAGTGACGAACGACGACAAGGACCCGACAAGGAACACAGACAACAGGAGGGTTTAAATACACACGGGGTAATCAAGGGAATGAGACACACCTGGGGAGCAATCAACGGGGAGGACAGGACAGAGACTCACAGGAACACAGGACTGAATAAACACAGAAAAACTCAAAATAAACAGAAAACCACGGATCATGACATTAAATGTCCAATGTTTTCAGGAACCAGTGTACCGCCATGTTTGTGTAATAGCTATGCATAGCCAAAACAAAGGAATTGTGGCTTAACAGCTGTCTCACTATTTCATCCAACTATGTTTCTGTTACAAATATATAAAGAATATGCTCAGTAATTAAGTCATTAATAAAAAGTTATTTTCCGGGCAAAAATCTCAAGTTCAGTAAAGCCAATTTAAGTGACTTAGTGATCATATTTTATATATAGGAAGGTTCTCTTGAACAGGAATCAATATCAGTTTCATTTTAGACTATTACTATTAAGTACAATTAATTAAGACTAAAACAGTTTATGTAAACTAATATCCAAAGAAGCCAAAACTACCCAAAGGTAGACAAGGTGAGACACTGAGAAAAGTTGCTCCTGCTCTGCATTCAATCAGGACCAGTAAAAGGAATAACAATGGATAACATGTCTCAACTGACTGTCTGTTCATGTCATTCCAGATCCCAACACAACATGATGAGACCAGTTTATCCACCAGTATCTGTAGCGAGTAGAGTGTGAGGTCCAGCAGCCACTATGCCATGTGTGTAAAGGACCAGTGGTGGTGTTGCGGCCCCAGGCGGGATGCTGCTGGAAGCCGGTCAGTATGACTCTGCTGGACTTGTGGCTGTCACGCTCCATCCCCATGTGCCTGCTTCTCCAGAGCCTTGTCCTCATGGCCCTGTGCTTCCCCTCGGCCAGCATGTGTCCAAAGGGCTGCAGCTGTCTACGCGACCCCCACCTCCACGGTCTCAACGTCACCTGCAGTCAGTCCCGCCTCAAAGAGATTCCCCCCAACCTCCCAGTCGATACTGTCCTCCTGAGGCTGGACCACAATCAAATAGGTGCTGTGCCCGACCAAGCCTTCCGTGGACTCCGGCTTTTGAGGGAGCTGAACCTCTCTTATAATGCAGTGGAAACTTTAGGGGAAGGTTCCTTTAGTGGCATCGAGGGGACATTACAGGTGCTGGACCTTTCCCACAACCGCATCACTAGCGTTCACAGGGATGCTTTTGCCCGACTGAAGGCCCGCATCATTGTAGATGACAATCCCTGGCACTGCGACTGCGCCCTCCAGCAGGCCATTGGAGGAATGGCTCACAACCACGAGGCCGCAGCTAGAGTCCTTTGCAGGAGCTCCGAACTTCTTGATCAGGAGGGTCGACCTTTCCTGGCAGTTGACACTGACCTGTGTAACCTGGCAAAAAGGACCACAGACTATGCCATGCTTGTCACCATGTTTGGTTGGTTTGCAATGGTTATATCATATGTGGTGTATTATGTTCGTCAGAACCAGGAGGACGCCCGGCGCCACCTGGAGTACCTCAAGTCTCTCCCCAGTAAGCCCAAGAAACCTGATGATGCTGATGACATCAGCACTGTTGTCTGACAGCAGCATCATGATGGCTCTTCATCACAGACTCAATGAAATGTTTACACATCAGGACCCACATTTATAGTGTTTACTACTTCAAACTTCAGTCTCTGTGAGCATCAGAAGGGTTTGTACTTTGGAACTTTTCGCGTATGTCTTTATCAGGCTGAGTTTATGTTCAAAGTGAAATCAGGCAAGAAATGAAACAACACCCACAATACAACATTTTGAAAAATTTAATCTCAGGTTGAAATATTACCACAGTAATGGCTTTTTAGGTAATGATTTGGGATATATATATATAGTTTTAAGACAAGGTATGACATACACCTTTAATCAAAGCCCCTATTTTTCAGTGTCAAACAGCTGAAAAGTGTCGTCTCTGAAACCATGGAATGGAAGCAGAGAACATTCAGTTTATATTGTGTCTAATTTACAACAAATGGAAGAAAATATTTCTTATCTCTCTCCCAGCCTTTGACTAAGCAGGCCTGACTCTTAAATAAACACGTTTTATTGCCATGCTTTTTTGAAAATAACAACTTAGGGTAATAACATAGAATACTAAATTCTAATAAAGCTAATTCCTGCCAGAAATAAAAGGTGTTTTATATCAAAAATATGTATGTTGGAATTTATGCAGTTCTGAGTGTTGCAGCTCTGTTTTTCATTGTTAGGTTCATATTGATTAGATGGAGGATGAAGCTCTTATGCTAAGCAATTACAGTGCTTTGAGTTTTTGCCCCTTTACAGATTTCTTTAGTGTTTAAAGTTTTTCTAGCATGAATGTCCAGTCTAAGGTCATTCCACAGCATCTCTGTTAAATCTAGTCATCTACTAGGTATGTCCTCGGAACTCTCCTATGGGTTAAGATTGGGAAGCCATTTTTGCCTATTTTTTGTTTTTCTTGCTAAATCATGAGCCTTAGCTGAGACAGTGAGCCCGGCAGCGTTCAAATGATTTTCTGTTGTTTTTTTTTTTGTTTTTTTGACCTCCTGAATGAGTCGTTACTGACCTCTTGAGGTAACTTTTGGTTGGCCAGCTACTTCTGGGAAGTTTCTTCACTGATGTATTTCTTCTTTATTTGTGGATAACGGTTCTCACTGTAGTTTTCTGAAGTCCTGGAGCCTTAAAATGGCTTTGTAACCTTTTCCAGATTGATCTCAATGACTGTGTTTGTCACCTGTTCTTGAATTTCTTTAAATCAGGGCAATGTCTTACTTTTGGAGATCTTTTAGCCTACTTCATGTTGTCAGACAGGTTTGTATTGAAGTGAATTCTTTAACTGTTATCAAAAGCCTTTTGATTGAATAGTTAAGTGTGACTAGAAAGCCAAACCATAAGAAATCTGTCAGGAGGCAAATCCAGTTTACAACACTGTTCAACTGATGTAGCACCCCAGTGGTATTAGTGTTTACTTTGTCTTTAATACATCTAGCCCCAGTTGAACCAGTAAACCCATTGTAATTTAAATCAGATGATATTCCTAATTATTTTTACAAAAGTAGAACCGTTCAGACTTCTTGGTGGGTTATTGAATGTTCTCATTGGAATGGAACTATGTTTTGGTTTGCTAACTTTATCACAGACATGATCTGTCCAACTTGTCACCTGTCAGTCTAGTCCATATCTAAGACTGCAACAGTCTTCTTTTAGAAATATATGTAGTGATACAATATGAAATAAGAGAAAAAATTGTCTTTGTGATAGTTTTAGTGGCGTGCTGCCAAATACAAGTCTTTGGTGGGATAGTGAAATGTTACTGCACTATTAATGTTTCTTTTGTATTAACTAAGTTGTCCATCTGGAGAGAAATCACATTAACTAAAATCAGCCAGTGAATTAGGATAAAAACATACCAATGTTCTGCAATCATTTATTTAGTTAATATTTTTATATGCAGTCCATATAAAAACATTAAATGACAAAACAGTTTAAGCACAATGCCTGAAGGATTGAACTGAGTGGACATGCAGACCAGTGATTGGTACATAAAGGATTTTTTAGCAAAGCACCAGAGGGTCTAAGTAAAGGACATGTACATCTAGGTAGAGGATCATCTGACAGTCAAAACAGTTTGTAAACAATAACAGAGTACTTTCATGTGAGATTTGATTGGAAAGGAAAAAGCATAAAAAGAAGGGCAGAAAAATTCAGCTGAAATCCTTTAAAATGTAAAAACACAACCGAAAGACGTGAAAGGAAATAGACAATTCATGTGGATTGAAGATGGAAATAAAATCAGTCAATGATTATCCACCGGGTGACTGAAGAAGGTCTAGAGACACATGTGAATAACAGTAGAAGATGCCTATGTGAAGCTAAGCTATGAACAAGAGTCCCTCTGCAAAGTCTGGATGGATGGATG